CCAAGCCCGCCTGTGCCCCCGGCAGGCCCTCCGGCTCCCCGTCTGCCTTCAGTGCTCCCGCGGCCTGCCCTTCTGGTCCAAGAGGCCCGAATCCGCCCACCTCCCGTCCTCCCCACCCCGACCTTTGCCCTCGGCCCTCACCCCTCTGTATAATGCTTGTGTTGACCCCCAAGGACCCCCTGCCCTGGTCCGTCTGCCCGCTGAATGCCAACCGCACCGGCTACGACGAGGAGTGCGAGCAGGCCTCCTCGACCAAGTACTTCTGGTACCGGAAGACCCTCAACATCTCGCCGTCCATCCAGGAGAGCGGCGGCCTGCAGTGGGAGCCGGCGCTGTGCCTCCTGCTGGCCTGGCTGGTGGTGTACCTGTGCATCCTGCGGGGCACCGAGTCCACCGGCAAGGTGCGGGCGCGGCGGGAGGGCAGGCAGGGGCGGCTCGCTGGCACAGGCCACCCGCTGGGCAGCCGTAAAGACGGCAGGGGCACGTGAAGCCCTGGACCTCAATCTCAAAACAAGGCCTTGCCCGCCACCTGAAAAAACGGGCAGGTGTGGGCCGGCCAGCCTCAGATCCTCGCTGCCGAGCAGCACCAGGCAACCAGACAGTGAGTTTCCCCTCCTTGAAAAACCTTAAGTGACTGAAGATTCCCCAGAGACCCACCTGGCCCCGGCTCTCAAGCTTAGCTGCCCATCGGTACCACCGGGGGAGCTTCTGCACCTCCCCGGCCTCAGCCCAGCCCCCGAAGGCTCCGGGGCCATGAGCACAGGGGCAGCCTGAGCTCCCCAGGGCCCTGGAGTGATCAGTGTGGGTGCGGCCTGAGCGCTGGGGTCTGAAAGCTCTCGGGTGCGTCTAACCTGCAGCCGGTTTGAGAGCCTCTGCGCTAAGCCGTTTTCCACGACCCTACAGAGCTGTCAGGTCTGATTTGCAAACCTTCTCTCCGGGTGCACCCTCCTTGGCCTATACTCCTGGTCACATCTCCCGGCGCTGACTCTGCCCTCTGGCGCCCACAGGTGGTGTATTTCACCGCGTCGATGCCCTACTGTGTGCTCATCATCTACCTGATCAGGGGCCTCACACTCCACGGAGCCACCAATGGCCTGGTGTACATGTTCACTCCCAAGGTGAGCTGGGGGGCGGGCTCGAGGGCGCCCCCCTCACCCTGCACCCTCCAGAGTGGCCGAGAGGGGGGCTGGCGGAGGGCGGGTGAAAGCTGCCCTGGACCCTGGAGGCCGGGGTGAGCCCTCCGGGCTGTGGGTTACCTGCAGGTGCTGAGTCACCCTCAGCAGGCCGTCCCCAAGCCCTGTCAACTCTGGGGCATCGAGCCTTTTGTCCACTCTTCCTCCCTGTCCTCGCTGCCCTCACCAACCGCTGCACAGCCCGCAGCTGGTCTCCGAGCCCGTCTCACCCCAACCCTCCTTCCAGCCTGTGGACTAAGTTTTCTGCCACGAGCATCACTCCCACCATCTCAGTTTCCCTGAGGNCCAAGGTGAGCTGGGGGGCGGGCTCGAGGGCGCCCCCCTCACCCTGCACCCTCCAGAGTGGCCGAGGGGGGGGCTGGCGGAGGGCGGGTGAAAGCTGCCCTGGAGCCTGGAGGCCGGGGTGAGCCCTCCGGGCTGTGGGTTACCTGCAGGTGCTGAGTCACCCTCAGCAGGCCGTCCCCAAGCCCTGTCAACTCTGGGGCATCGAGCCTTTTGTCCACTCTTCCTCCCTGTCCTCGCTGCCCTCACCAACCGCTGCACAGCCCGCAGCTGGTCTCCGAGCCCGTCTCACCCCAACCCCTCCTTCCAGCCTGTGGACTAAGTTTTCTGCCACGAGCATCGCTCCCACCATCTCAGTTTCCCTGAGGACGAATCCACGCTCTACAGGGGTTTCGGGGTCCCTCCCAAGTTCCCCACTGCTAGTATTCATCACTATTGCTTTGGGGGCCAAATAGATCTTCATTTAGCAAATCTGGCCCCTGGAAACAAAATGACCGTGGGAGCAGCATCCCCTAAGGCCCCACCACCACACTGCTGGGTTCAACGCAGACCTCGGCCTCCACCAGCCGCACCACCTCCACCTCTGGTGGCCCGGCCCCGGGCAGTGCCTGGCTCATGGACCAGGGGCTCGGTCCCTGTGAAATGATTTTACCCTGCCCTTCTCCATTGCGCTCCTATGGGGAAGGCGCTGTGGAGGACATGGCAGGAGGGACGTATTTCCCTGCTAACGAGTGGACGGGGCACCGGCCAGAAGCCAGGAAAGCTGGCTTCCCACCCCGGGCCTGCCCCTGCCTGGCTGCATGCCACAGGCAAGGTCCTCCACCCCTTGGGGCCTCCCTCCTTTCCCTGGTCCAAAAGGTTGGGACCCCCTCCCCCAGTTCATCAGCCCTGTCCCTGCTGGCCTTCCAGTTGGAGCAGCTGGCCAACCCCAAGGCCTGGATCAACGCAGCCACCCAGATCTTCTTCTCGCTCGGCCTGGGCTTCGGCAGCCTGATCGCCTTCGCCAGCTACAATGAGCCCTCCAACAACTGCCAGAAGCATGCCATCATCGTGTCCCTCATCAACAGCTCCACCTCCATATTTGCCAGCATCGTCACCTTCTCCATCTACGGCTTCAAGGCCACCTTCAACTACGAGAGCTGCTTGAACAAGTAAGCCCGGGGCGCCCCAGGCCTCAAGGGGGCGACGCGTCCCCAAAGCTCCGAGCTAAAGGGGCACCTGGGAAAAGGCAGATGCCAAGAAGTCAAGGGGTGTAGGGCAAAGGGCACCAGCCTTGCAATCCTCAGCCCAGGGGTCCAATTCCAGCTCAGCGTGTGCCTGAGGGATGGGGGCGGTCCCTGTATTCAGAGCACTCAGCAGGACAGGGCATTCGACAAACCAGCCTTAATTTCTTCTGCCCCATCTTCCCCACCTCAAAAGCAGCCAAGAGCTATCTAGCTAAGCCATGGGGATTCCAGAATCTACTTTCTGTATCTTACCGAAATACAGAAACATCCAGAAGGCACACTAAAAGTGTGTCACCAGCCACGGGGGCTGTTCACAAATTAAAATGTAAATTTAAATTTTACTTAAACTAACTTAGATTTAGACTAGTTCCTCGGTGCCACACGTGGTTCATGGGTACCACACTGGATGGCACAGATGTGGAACATTTCCCTCATCTCAGTCCTGTGGACTGTGCTGGTCCAGAGGCTGAAGTAGCCGGCCATGCTGGTTGGTTCCTGCTGTCATCACTGTCCCTATTTGAGGCTTCTTCAAAGCCATTTGAAACACTTTGCCGTTTAAAAGGTCACCAATCAATAGATTCCTCTGGTTGAGGGCCCCACTTAATCAGAAAGGAAGAGGCGGGGGGACAGTGTGGGGCCCACGGCCCTGGGAGGTCTGGCAACGGTGGCCTTGCTCATCAGCGGAGGTCAGTGTGATGCTGTGCTCTGCAGGGTGATTCTGCTGCTGACCAACTCCTTCGACCTGGAAGATGGCTTTTTGACAGCCAGCAACCTGGAGCAGGTGAAGGGCTACCTGGCATCCACCTACCCGAGCGAGTACAGCAAGGTGTTCCCACTGATTAAAAACTGCAGCTTGGAATCGGAGCTGGACACGGTAAGGCGCGGGCAAGGTCTTGGGAGACAGAATTCTCTTCCCTACACCTCTCCTGGGACGGAGACTCGGTCACGGCTCTCCCAGCTGCCCCACGGAACACCAGGTTCCTTTGGGTTCTCCGGGCCCTTTCTCCTTTTAAATTTTAAAAAGACAGAAAAGTACATAAAATAATATAACAAGTGCCCATATATCTACCACCCTGAATGAAGAATTGTAAACATTTGTCATTTGGGGCTCAGATTTTTTTTTTTTAAATAAAAAGAAAAGAGCCCGGCCAGTGTGGCTCAGCAGTTGGACATTGACGTAGGATCCAGGAGATCTTGGTTTGATTCCTGATCAGGGCACAGGACGGGGTTGTGGGCTCGACCCCCAGCCGGGGGCGTGCAGGAGGCAGCCGATCAATGACCCTCTCACCATTGGTGTTTCTCTCTCTCTCTCCCTCTCCCTTCCTCTCTCTGAAATCAATAAAGATATATTTTAAAAGAGAAAAGGAAAGACTGTTTTGGAGACAAAGTTAAAGTCCCCTGAACAAAAATAAAAAGCGACAGAGGAACTAAAGACACCTTTCACAACAGCAGAGAGCTAAAGGTCTTCATATGTTCCTCCTGTATCTAGCAACCTCGATGAATTCTCTTACTGATTCTCGTATTTGTCTATAGGGTCACCTTAGCGTTCCGCGTAAACTCTTATATCACCTGCTTGCATTTTTCTTTTCAATCCTTATATTGCCTTTTTTTTTTTTTTCCTATTGTATTTGCTAGGACTTCCAGGCGGTGGAGGCAGAAATGAGAGTGGGCATATTTGCCTAACTGTTATATTTAATACTTCTAGAGGGTGTCTCTGGAGGATGCCTTATAAGAAAAGAGACTGGTGAAGGCCCAAAGCTCTGGCTGCCAGCAAGCTACCTTGAAGTTTCTTTGGCATTTTGTTTTGTGGGTGGAGCCATTCTGGGTCATGTCCTGGATGAAACCACGCTTTGTTCCTCCGGCTGGCTGGTGACTCGGGCCGGTGGCATGGCCCTCTGTCCCCAGACAGGGACCATATCCCCAGGACCCAGCCCCAGGTCCAGCCCCAGCCTTTAGGGCCTAGATCCCATTCCGAGGACCCGTGAGGTCTTTCAGCTTTAGTTTCTGTTCAGGTTCAAATTTTTTCTTTGTTCTTGGCACCCAGGAGTCTTACTCACTTTTGAGCTTGGCTCAATGTCCAACAATTATGTGGTTATTGATTTATTTAGACTGCTTTGCCCCTATTGTGTTTTTTCCCTCCTTAGTCACTAACCGTTTGGAATGTGTATACTCCATTTCTCTTCTTGAAAGTTTTCCATGTATATTTAACTTAATAAAGCCTAAAGTTAAATACTGCCCTTGACTTCGGAGCACTTTCAACTCATCCCCCCTGTTTAAATGGCATTTTTGTCCAGTCCGGTCCTGTCTTCGTTAAACCCGTAACTGGATGCCGCTGTAGCTCTCTTCCTGTTAGCCGTTTCACCTATCACCGGTTTTTCTTGCCTCCCAGCCGTCTTCTGGGTGTTTTTCCCTCCTGCCTTGCAATGCGTTCCTTTACAGCAGGTTTTTTATGATAATGCCGCCGAGTTTTATTTGTATGTAAATGTCTACATTTGGCTCCCGTTTTAAAAATTAATTTATTTTCCAATGACAGTGGGCACTAATTATTATTACAGCTAATAATATATTAGCTTCAGGCGTAGGGCACAGCGACCGGACGTTATTATAACGTACAGGGCGCTCACCCCACAGGCCGGCACCCCCCCCACGCCACGCGGTTGTTACAGGGTTACTGACTATACCCCTGTGCTGTGCTGCGCACCCCTGACTGCTTTTATAACTGGCCGTTTGTCCTTTATCTCTTCCCCTGTGCGCCCATCTGCCCGACCTGCCTCCCACCCTGTCGCCCCGGGTTCGACCCCCATTTCGTAGCCGGTTTCCCGCTGAGTAGATGGCCTCGGGCTGGCAGCTGCTTCTCCCAACACTGAAGCTATTCGCAGGCGACTCAGCTCCCACCCTAGCCCCTGAAAGGCCCTCTCCTCTGCGGGCGCTGCCCCCCAGCCCTTTCGGTCCTGTTTCTGTCCCGCCTCCCCTCCCCTGGGCCCTGGCGCCTGAGCTCCGGGTGTCTTCAGCTGTTTACCCCCCCGGCCCGGGTGAGGGGGGCTTCCTGGACCTGTGGGGCCAGCTGTCTTACCAGTTTTGGAAGATTCCTACCTGTTATCTGGTCATCATTGCCTCTTCTGGAATTTTATGTAGGCCTGTGCTAGACCCTCTCATCAACCCTACTTGACTATTAATTTCTCTTTTATCTGCTTCATTATGGATTCATTCCCGGGATATACACAACCCCCCAGTTCACTAACTCTCTCTGTAGCTACAGGTAGTATTTAACGGTCAATTGAGCCTTTTAACTCAATAATTTTTTAGACACTATTGTTTTCAAATTTGCTTTTCATTCTAATAGTTCCTAGTTACATGTTTATCTCTATCGTTTTAGCTCTTTAAATACGTCCCACCTAGCTGTTTGGGAGGTGGCCGTGGGCAGGGGAGAGAGCAGTCGGCCCTGGAGGGGAGAAGTGTGTTATCACTGACACTGTTGAAAATTGTCAGCTCCTAATAATAATAAAAAGCAGGTCAACTTCAGTAGGTTTTGTTACCTGCAGATTCTCTGCAAACGGGACCCCCTAGTGTCTGCACCCAGGGCTGACCGTCCCCCTGTCCCCACTGGAATGCCATTGCGCCCGCTCATATTCCGAATCCGATGTCCCAGCACCGGCCGCTTGTGGGGAGCGGTGCTCTGAATCTGTTTCTTATTGCTGCTGACTCTCCAGCCACACTGGCGCATCTCCTCGTGGGTTTGCGCATCTCTGCAGGCTCAGTGCTTGTCATCGCTGGTGGTCCTGTGGGTCCCAGTCGGGGACCTTTCCCCCAGAGAGGGGTTGCTTCTGTTCTTGTGATGCTGGTAGCCAGGGGCCACCCCAACCCTGGCCCGTTTCAACCTGCCTCCTCCCCCCAGGGTTGTCTTTAAGCAGGAGTTCCAGGCTCATTTCCACACTTTAGTGTCCCCACAGTGGTGTTACTGCCGCAGGGATCGGGCCACTGAGCCACCCTGCCTGTCCTGGCTCCCAGCTGACCAGGCCAGCTCCCCGGCATCCTGCTCCTGCTTCTCTGGCCCCACCGTCCGGCCTCGGCTCCCAGCCACCAAGGCCTCAGACACCCAGACAGTCATCATACTAGAAGCAGGAGTTACCCCAACATTATTTTATTGTGTTTTATCCAGAATTTACATGAGTTGGGGGCAGAAAGGGACTCAGTGTTCCAAGTTCACTGAAATGTCCCCTCACACATGGGCTCCCGACAACTCACATCTCTATCCCAGGGGAGCCTGGGGTCCGGTCTGACGCTGGGAGAGCCAACTCCACGATGTGGCTTCTCGTGGCCAGTGCTGAGGTCCCCCGTGCTGCTTGGCATCGGGTGTGTCCAAGGTGCTGTGGGTCCCTTGGGTGTGTAACTGGGGTCTTGTCACTGGGGCAGGCTGTCCAGGGCACCGGCCTGGCTTTCATCGTCTACACCGAGGCCATAAAGAACATGGAAGTGTCCCAGCTGTGGTCCGTGTTATACTTCTTCATGCTGCTGATGCTGGGCATCGGGAGCATGCTGGGCAACACGGCCGCCATCCTCACGCCTCTGACCGACAGCAAAGTCATTACCCGCCGCCTGCCCAAGGAGGCCATCTCAGGTGAGCGGGCGGGCACCGAGCTGGGGACAAGCAGCCGGACGGCTGCCTCGGAGGCTACGTGCCTGTTGCGGTGGCCACGGAGCTGCGGCGACCTCCCAGTGGTCCTGCCCTCACCCTTTCCTCACCTCGGGCAATCAGGACCTGGTTGTCACTCACCCCATGCCTCTGGTTCTCCACACTGCGGGGGCAGGCGGTGGCCACCCCGGCCTAGGAACAGGCCAGACTCCCCAGCCTGGCACCAGAGCTCCCCAGGCGAGGAGAGGGGCAGCTCTGGTCTTTGTTTAATTGAGGTATAACAGTTACAGCGTGTACATTCCCTACGCACAGACTCAGTGAACCTGACACATTGCCCACCAAGTACCCACCACCCAGGTCATAGCACTTCCCCCACCAGAGGGCCCCGCCCGCCCCCGAAGCCACCCTGTTCTCACTGCTCCGTTTACGTGCGTTCCCGCGTCCTCGGGCTCCGTGATCACACGGTGTGTGTGTGCGGCCTTCGCTCCCCCTCTCGGAGCCCCACCCGCACGCTGTGACTAGCAGCCACCTGCCCCTCTCCTGCCCCGCAACAGCCCATCACAGGAGCCACTTACCTGCCATTCTGCCTGCGGGCAGCAGGCCTGTTGGGAAAGAACCTGCTCTTCCGACCACTCCACCTCCCGCCTGCTCCACTCCCACGCCGTGGGCCCGGACCCTGCCTTTGATGATGCCCCTGTCCCCCCACATCCACGACCTCCCTCCTCCTAGCCGGCATCAGGCCCAGTTCCCATCCCATGCCCTGAAGTCCTGCTCACCCCGCGGGAGCCGCTCCCCCCCTTGTCAGCGCCTCCAGCACTTAGCAGCCCCCTCACCCTGCAGCCGCATTTGCGTGCCCTTAGCTGCTGGCCACACTGTCCCATTCCCCTGGGTGGCCCCCTCAGGCTGGGCCCGGTGGCTGGTGGTGTAGGGCGTAGCAGTGGAAAGGGCAGGAGGGAGCTTTAGAGTCAAGTACTTAGAGGGGTGCCCCAGAGAGGCAGCCAGAGGAGACCGGACAAGAACCCAGGTTCTGGAGGCAGAGGGGCCTGAACCCTGACTCCACCACGTACGTGCTGTGAGACACTGGGAAAGTCTCTCGACATCTCTGAGCCGTGGCTTTCCCATCTGTACGAGGCGGCTCCTGATCCCTGCCTCAGGGGAGGGGTGGGAGCTGCACAAACACTTGGTACCTTCTCTTCCCACCGCCCCCCACTCCTCTGTTCAGGATGAGTCCTCTCTAGGAAGTCCTGAGAGTGTCACCCCCAGGTCACATCTCCTGCCCCAATTCGCCTCCCACGAGCTCAGGGACTGAGCTGCTGGGATAAACAGCTAGACTCACAGCCTGGCGAGATCCCCTAGTCAGGGGGTGCCCACAGCGCCCTCTTTTCCATTGAGCTGGTGCCCCCTGCAGGGCAGCTCTGTGAGCTGTCAGTGACGCCTGCTGACACTCCTTGGGCCACCATCCCCTTGTGCCCCAGCCCTCAGGCACACCCACGTGCACACACACGCACAGCACACACATTCAGAGAGGCCAAACCGCGGCAGCTCTTCCAACCTCCGCGGACCAGCCGGTCAGCCAGAGTCCCCCCGGCGCCCGCAGCCCTGCTGCCCGTGGGAGGCGGGTGAGCAGGCGGGTGCCAGGCGGGTGAGCAGTTGGGTGCCAGGCGGGTGAGCAGTTGGGTGCCAGGCGGGTGAGCAGGCGG